TAGCCCGAACGGGGTCGTAACGTTAAAGTCGCTCCTCTTCTCATTTATACGGCTAATTATAATGAGCAGCTACCCACGTTCTTACTTTATATTTACATCGTAAATACTTGACAAATAGTCAAGAGAAAAGTCACTTTATATTTTGAATAACTCTTTACTTCGATATTTTCTTGAGAAAACTTCTTTATGAAATTGTTAACATTTTTTTTTATGTTTCACTTATGTAAATATATAGAGAGTGTAAAGTAGATTATAAAGAGTATAGAGTATATGTATTTTACATACATATATATCGATGTAATATCATTTATATATATATATATATATATATAAAATTTTTAATTTATTCGTATGACTTTATTTTTCAGCGTTTGGGTAGTGTACGTGGAGAAGACATTCCATATATTTTTGGATTACCATTGGTAGTAGGTGGTACTTTCTTTCCACGTAATTATTCTCGACAAGATCAGGGTGTCGCTGAAGCCGTCCTCACGTTTTTCACGAATTTCGCAAAAACTGGAAACCCCAATGAGCCGCATAAAATCGAATCCGTTGATTATGGTACACCCAAAGAGAAAACACGTTTTCGGGGTCTAACGTGGGAACAATATGAGACTAGTACACAAAAATATTTAACTATAGGTATGTAAAAACGATTGAAAGTAATTACAATTAATTTATTTTACCATGATATATTAATGATACATTATCTCATCATGATAATTCGTTTAGCTTTGAAACCTAAAATGAAGAGTCATTATCGCGGTCACAAAATGGCTGTTTGGTTAAATCTTATACCACAACTTCATCGACCAGGTGACGATGATGTTTCTATGAGACATCATCATTTTCGTGAAAGGGAAGAACATTATTATGCGGGTATACTCTTGAATTTATATCATAACTATAATATCAAATTTTTTAAATTAATTACTTTCATTTCTGGTTATATAATTTAATAAATTAAATGCATATAAAGGCTGTATCAGCATATTAAAAATAATTAGTGAATATCAATTTATTCGTCATCGTTTCATTGAAAAATAATATTTTTTATTTATTTAATAGGTCCCGTTAGAGACGAATGGTATACGCCACTTCCTTTAACGGGCACAACAAAAAGTAGCGGAGCTTCCTCGACAACAGCTTGCAGTACGTCAACGGGTGACGAGACACTAGTTGAAAATATTACCCCAATCTTAGAGGAATCAGAAGACGATACCGAATTGCTTCAAAGATTAGCCGCCTCTCGTCATTATTATAGTACAACAACAGCATTAGCAATTACAGTTGGTGTTGGATTGATTTTACTCATTTTAAATATGCTCATATTCGCTGGTATTTATTATCAACGTGATCGTGACAAAAAGAGAGCTGCCATGGACTGTACGCCAAATGGACAAGAATCATTACCAATGACCACTAGACCTGTAGCGATAAAAGCTACTGAAAATACAAATAGACCTGGTCAAGAGCCACCCCCATCTTACACGACTTTAGCCAGGAGTCCTTCCGTTCAAGAGCAACAACAACAACAGCAACAACAACAGCAACAACAATCATCTCAAGGACAACAACAAATAGTCAATGAAGATGGTCAAATGAAAGTAGATAATAAAACGGGCCAACAACAACAACAACAACAACAACAACAACAACAGCAACAGCAACATGTTTCTGGTAATACTATTCATAAAGATCCAGTACCACCAAAACCACCTGTCAGAACTACCAGTTCTCTCAGTACAACACCTGGCAATACGAATACCATTAAGAAACGAGTTCAGATACAAGAGATATCTGTATAGCATTAGGGGTTGCTGCCAGAGGGCGGCACCATCAGATCAAAGAGAGTGACTTTCGTTGATTGTGAGGCTACAACCCAATCTAGATTCTAAAAAAAAAAAAAAAAGAAAAGAAAGGAAAGAAAAATAAATAAATAAAGTCACAGACAAAAATCAAACCTAACGTCGGATGAAAAAAAAAAAGAGAAAGAAAAAGAGAAACAACTGATATTGCCTTTTGAACTCATAGACATCAATCAATCAATCAATCAATCAATCAATCAATTAATCAATCAATCAATCAATCATGATTATCTCTAAGAAAAGGATAATGAAAGGGAAGATCGTATCGTATCTTCCAGGACTGTGTTCCAAGAGTGTTCTTCTTTCGTTAAGGATAATAAGGTGCAAGGATGAGAATCTGTATGTATGTGTGTATGTATGTATGTATGTATTATATAAGTATATATGCATGCATGTATGTACGTATGAGAGAGAGAGAGAGAGAGAGAGAGAGAAATAGTTTTTGAAAATCAGTACCTTCGTCCGCGTACTATGCCATAAGGTGTACATTTTACATTGAAGTTTACTTCTAAACCAAAAAGAAAAGAGAAAAAGAAAAAGAAAGAAAAAAAAAGTAATAATAATAATAATAATAATAATAATAATAATAATAATAATAATAATAATAATATTAATAATAATAATAATAATAATAATAATAATAATAATAATAATAATAATAATAATGTGGAACTCAAGTGAAAGATTTGAGTGTTCTTTAACGTTATGCACTTGTGTACTCTCTTGCGTGTTGCTATATACTTGAAGAAAAAGAAAAAGGAAAAAGGAAAAAAAAAATGAGAAAAAAGAAAAAAAAAGGGAAAAACGAGAAAAAGGAAAAAAAGGAACTCTTCGTAAGAGTTAAAAAAAAAAAAAAAAAAAAAAAAAGAAAAAAAATAAAAAAAGATAAGTAAAGTATATGCAACGTGAACACGACTTTATACATTATTCATTAATTCAACATTAAAATAACTTGCATTTCCTTGTCTCTATCGAATATCGATGCATATACGAGAAAAATAATGAACGTGTGTGTCTGTGTGTGTATGTGTGTGTGTATCTCTGTGTGCGTGTGTATTTCTTCAAAGGAAAAGAGAGAAAAGAAAAGCAAGAAAATGAAAATAGTACTGTGCTCGAGGAAAGAAGGTAAGAGGAAAACCAGGAGAGAGGAGAAAAAAGAAGGCAAAAAAAAAAAAAAGGTAAAGAAAGAAAAAAAAAAAGGAACAATAGAAAAATTATTTTCTTCCCACGTTTTTCTCCACGACCAACTAAAAAGTCGAATTCGTGAATGAATGCAGACGGTGCGTTGACGGGAGCCTTCGAAAATATTTAAATAAAATTGACTGTATTATATTTAACTCGAAAAAATGTAGTAGCGTTTGCAACTTCGAAAAAAAATCCATATCTCCTTTTGAACAAAAAAAGAAAGAAGGAAAGGAAAAAAAAAAAGAAAAAACCCAGGAAAAAAAGACGAATATTACGATTCTAAGGTAAACAAGAAGGAGAAGAAGAAGAAGAAGAAGAAGAGGATTAGGAGGAGGAGGTAGAGGAGACATGCTCGGTCGTCTAAACAAATATGATCAACGACGAGTCAAGATCTGTGAGACTTTCTTTTTCTTTCTGTTTCTTTTTTTTTTTTTTTTTATTTTTTTTTACGTATGTTCGATAATTTCTTCTTAGAGATGAAGAAAAAATATAAATGCATATTCGTTCGTCTGTACGATAATAAATCTAAAAACTTTCGATGATAATTAGTTCTCGTCACGAAATAAAAATAAAAATGAAAAGAAAAAAAAAAGAAAAAAAAAAATGAAAAAAAAAACGAAAAAAAAAAAAAAAAGAAAATCCTCGTTCGTAAATGTGACGACACTTCTCTAACACTTCTTCACACAGGCAAGAGAAAAAAAACTATGATTAAGGTCGTAATCGTGTAATTATATTACTCTTGTAATTAGCATAAAAACTTATACGAAGGAGAGGAGAATATAGGGGAAGGTGGGGGGTGGGTGGGGGGGAAGAGACAAAAAAAGAAAAGAAAAAATCGTCTAATCTTGTCGACTTTGATAATTTTTAATTGCGCTCTCGCGTAAACATTTTTTCAAAGTATTATTATTCGCAAACAATTCCAATATGATTCGCAATACATACGTTAACAATTGTTTGCGATCGTACGTAAAAAGGAGGGAAAAAAAAAAAAGAAAAAAAAGAATATCAAGCACGTAAAATAATAATAAACGAAAATAAAATAAAGTAAAATAAAATAAAAATGAACAGTGAAATTTAACTAGCGACTTAGGCTCGGAACGAGATTTGTTAATTTCACTGTAAAACAATAAACACTTATTTATAAATAATCATCGGTACGATATATTCGTATGTCTCAATATTATTTGCATTGTAACCTACTAAGAACTTATTCTTCGATTGCAACATTACCGTGAAAGAATTCATTTTCAATCAAGCATATTGATCGGAAATATTCGAGAATAAGAAAATAAAAACGATCATACAAAATAATTTCATTTTAACGATATACAATTGAGAATTATTGAAAGGCGCAGGAAGCTAAATAAAAAAAAAGACATTAAAATAAAAAATATTTATAAATGTATAATACATATATATATATATATATATATATATATATATATATATATATGCATATATATTTATAAATATGTATAAAATCTTGTCAATATAATTTTACAATCTCGTGTCAGGAACATCATTACAAACTTTATTTAACGATTCATTATATTATAATAAAATATTACTACAGTCCTAATCGTTACGAATTTTGATAACCATAGAAAAATAATCATATTTAAAGGTACTGTATATATAATAGATCATTTGTTTATTTTTCTCTTTTATCCGGATCATATATAAATTAATTTTTATATTATATAACAGGCCCTTCGGTTATCCGGAAAAAAAACAAAAATTAAATTTCCAATTTAAAAAAAAAAGAAAAAAAAAAAATATATATATATATACATATATATATATATACATATATATATATATATCTAGCATTTCTAAGTCTCTTAACGTATATACAAAGCTTCCTCCGCTTTGTACATGTATAAATTGTTACAATAGTATGAATTGTATTATACATAGCAGCAGCAGGTCAACCATGATGAAAAAATGTCATCGATCAACTTTTATATATCTTACATCTTAAATAATTTCAATAATGATTACTCAACAGCCGTAGTTTTTGTTGGATGATGATCTGCAGGAGAAGTTGCTGGCCTTTTCCTTCCTCCTTTGTGTCCTGTGCGATCTGAAATAATAATATTTAAATATAAATAAGAATGATTACAAGGCAGAAAAAAAAGAAGGGAAAAAATAAACGAAAAATTGGATTTTTAATTTTTAAAATAATTTCAGTAACTTGAATAATTTCAACTCAACGAAATCCTATATAGATTTCTCAGTATTAGCATGGCTGGTCATCATTTATACATTTTTATACGTATTAACAATAATTATTTATATTTAAATGACAATCTTCTTACTTTTTTTACTTTCGTTTCTACTCTTATGACGTTGCCTGAGATTAGAAATATATTTCTTAACTTCGTCGAGGTATTTTTCTTCTTCTTCATTTTCCAAAACTCGACACGTAACTTCCGTTTCCTCGATCAATATCTTTTTAATATAAATATAAAAATATAATTTGATATAACATTAAATTAAACAATTACATTAAATGATGTTAACAATTAAAAATAATCATCGTTATTTACCTTATTTTCTGATAATTTTTCTAAAATACTTTTGGCTGAATTTTCTTCTTGGAAACGAATCCAGGCCTCTTTGTCACCCGATTCAAAATGTATATAAGCAATAGGAATTTCAAATTCTTCAAAACGCGTTCTGATTATATCTCTTGTACAATCATCGGGCATTCCTTTCATGTGAATTATAGCACCCTTTGGTAAATTTACAGTTTCAATCTTAGAATCTTTTAATGCCTGTAAAAAAAAAATATATATATGTATCATTAATTTAATACTTTTATATTTATATAAATTTATTATATATATATATATATATATATATATATATATATATATATATATACTTACTGCTTCTGTTTTTTTATTTCTTGCTTCTTGTATACGTTGTTTTCTTTCTTCTTTTTCACTAGCTCGTTCTACGTTATAATCAGCCCTAATAATCAATAAAAAACAAAAGTATTTTAATTCTAAAATAATTGTATATAAAATAATGTTATATAAAGATAAAACTTACGCCCATTTTCTTATTAATTCTGTATCATTATATTTAATAGAATCTCTTGCCATAAAAGTTTTAGCATCGTCCAAGGTTTTAAATTGTAAATAAATAGAACCTTTAAAGTGTAACGTTTTATCCTTATCCAAATATTTTCTCATCTAAAGAATTAACATATATTAAATAATATTGAAAAGATATGATAAATTATAAGAATATAAAAATATAGAATATAGAAATACTTACAACAATGTTCTCATATGGTTCATATTGATTGAAATATGTCTTTAATTTTTGAATATTCATATTTTCTAATGGAAATCCTTTCATATAAACTGTTTTGGCTTCCTGTGCCTTTCTATATTCTTCGTTATACGTTGGTAAAGGAAATTTAGGTGATCTTCTTATTTTCTTTTTATCTTCGGATATTTCAATCAATTCGCTTGATTCAAGAGATTTTACAATTATATCACAATCAGTAGTCATAGTGGCCAACATATTAAAATTAAGCATAACGGATAAAGGTATCCATCCTTCGTCTAATTTTATCTGTTCCGTAAGGAACTTATCTCTTTGCATATTTACATTTCCAAAGTAGAACTATAATAAAGAACGTAATGTAAATATTAATAGAATAAAATTCTATCAAGAACATATATATATATATATATATATATATATACATATAGAATATATAATACCCACATGATATGTAAAAAAAAAAAAAAAGAAAAGAAACAAACAAACAATTTATAAATGAAATATTTTAAATATGTTTTATTAAATATTTACTTCTATCTGATCCTTAATCTGTTCTAATAATTCTTGTGTAGGTTCCGAGGATTCTTTCGTTTCTTCAATTTTTGCATCGTCCTTTGCATTTTCTACCGGCTTACCCTTTTTAACCTCTTCGGTAACCTTTTTCTCCATATTACATTCTTCTTGACCATTAGCCATTATATTATATTTTAGATATAATATTGTCGAATGTAAGAAAAAACTTTTATGTTACAATATTAAAACTGTATTGATATTATTTGAAACAAATAAGAATTAGAGAGAACTGAACTTACGCCAACAACGTTTCTTCGTCAGAGTATAAAAGCGGAAGTGATCTCACAGCCATTATATATCCGTATATAGATATATATACTAACGTTATAACGTAGTAGTCATAACAAGTTCTCTTTTCTATCCTAAAAGGTATTAACTTCCGTTCTCGTTTGATTCTCAAATTTGATTGGTCGTACAAATAATCCATTCTTTTTAATATACTTCATTGAAAAGGAAAAATTAAAAGAACAATGTATAATAATGAATTTTTGTGATAAATAATAAAAACAATTGATAAGAAATATTAAACAAAGCGCTAAATGTTATTATTAATATAAAAATATTATATGTGGCGAAGGATCGAAACGTGATTGGCTGTTGAAAATATTCGTAAATTGAAAAGTTACACGAACACTTTTTGAATGTTCTAATAATAAGAAAAAGAGGAAAATATTATATTAAAATTTATTAGATCTTTTGAAATTTATAAAAAGAAAAAGAAAAGAAAAAATAGATTTTAATTTAATTTTAATTCGATAGAAAACGAACGTTCACATTTATTTGACGGATAAACGAATAATAATGAATGAAAATTAATAACGGTATGTCAATATAAATTTTTCTTTATTATTTTATTTAATACTTCGTATATAATTGTTTCCAATGTTTTTACATTTTTTTTTATTTGTTTTTATTTTAAGAATTTTTATTTTCAATATAAAGATATTATTTATATATTTTAATATATGTTATAAATTTTTTTACAATTAAATTATAACCTGGTCAAAACATCTCATTAGCCGGATGTTAGAGGAGGTAGCACGCCTGTATATATATATACCAGAAAGTTGGTAGTTGACCATAGTTCATCTACTTGTCCTCTTCTCCCTTCCGGTTTGTTCTTTGAGGTGGCTGTGTCTTGTTTAGTTTTAGCTGCAAATTAATCTTTCTCCATCTTCCAAAATGAGAATCTACAAAGATATTTTTACTGGTAAATTTGAATATACTTATTAAAAATAAATATTATCGATATATATTTTTCTAATTCAATTAATTATATTTACTTTTCAACATACGTTAAATTCAGGATCGAACGATGACAGTTATAATGTCTTTCAACAATATTATGTGTTACTAGTAATTTCGAATATTTATATTAGACATTGTTACGATATTGTTGTAAAGTAGATTTATTAATTATCATAGAAAGTTCCAATGTATTTGTTTTTTCTTTTTTTTTATTATTTTTTTCTTGTTATAATCAAGTCTACACGTACATAACCTCTTCGTACGTACAACGAATCGTTTCGATTTTAAAGATAGAATCAATCTTAATAAGTAGCATATGTTTTTCCTTTTTCTCTTTTTTTTTTATAACTTATGGAATATTAATAAAAGTAACGAATATTCTTGTATTCCAGGTGATGAGATGTTCTCAGATACATATAAGGTCAAACTTATAGATGATGTTTTATATGAAGTATATGGCAAGGTAATGTTAAAATTTTTATTTTGTATCTTAGAATATTTTTATAGAAAGTGCATTATTATACGTATGAATTTCTATTTAATATATTCAGTTAGTGACCAGAAAGTCCGGAGATATAGAAATTGCTGGCTTCAATCCGTCTGCCGAAGAAGCAGAGGAATGTACAGACGAAGCTGTTGAATCTGGTGTTGATATTGTGTTAAATCATCGTCTCCAAGAAACGTTTGCTTTTGGAGATAAAAAATCTTATACTTTGTATCTTAAAGATTACATGAAAAAGTAAGTGAAATTGTAGCATTGTATATGTTTTCCTATTTCTTATCTTCTAGAAATTAATTATTTTATATTTTATGATATTAGATTAGTGGCAAAATTGGAAGAAAAATCACCTGATCAGGTTGAAGTTTTTAAAACAAATATGAATAAAGTTATGAAAGACATATTAGGTCGATTCAAGGAATTACAATTTTTCACTGGTGAATCAATGGACATAGATGGTCTTGTTGGTTTAATGGAATATCGAGAAATTGATGGTGAATCTGTGCCTGTAATGATGTTCTTTAAACATGGACTTGATGAAGAAAAATTCTAAATAATTCTTAGATATTCAACAAATTGTGGTAAAATTTTGTAAGTACATCATATATAATAATATTAATTATGTGTGTGTGTGTATATATATATATATATATATATATATATATATTCACTTATTCTTACGTATACATGAACTCTATCATGTTTTATGCCATGCAATTGTACGCACTGCACTTCATGTTAGAAAAAAATGGGTAAATTAAATTCCCGCTACAACATTATCTCGTTGAAGCGTCTATTCGTACCACATACACAATTTATTTCAATATATATAATATATATATATATATATATATATATATATATATATATATATATTTTTTTTTATTTCATATAAATAAAAAAAAATTTTTATTTTCAGATAAACTGGAATTAAGACTGCACACAAATTAAGAAAAAATAAATGAATATATATATATATATATATATATATATATATATATATATATATATATATAAACTGTGAGATTTAGTTACAGATATGTACTGAAAGATATTACTTCCAAGGGCAATAATTTAACAGTGCAGTTGAATTATTTCTTCTATAATGTAAAATGTGTATTCACAGGAAAACCAGTTGTATATAATCTACAACAGGAGTGTAGATGAGAAAAGTGAAAATTAATTTCTATGATAATTTTTTTGAATAATTTGTGACAAATTTAAAAGGATCTCCTTTTTTTTTATTATTTGGTGCTCTGTCCAATGGTTTTATTTATATATATATATATATATATATATATATATATATATATATATATATATATATTGATATATTAAAAAATAATAACAAAAAGAAGAAATATGGAAGATGGGGAAAGAGAACTTGCAGCGATAACAAAAGTCACAGCGCATATTATAATGCCTATAATTATTGTTAATATCAATAATATCTACAATCGATAATTATTCTTGAACCGTACTCAACATAATGTCCATCATGAATAAATGAGAAAAAGAATGTTTTCCATAATAATTATCTTTAATTACTTACCACGAATTTTTTGACATCTTCGATTAAAAAGAAAATAGACCAATGAAGCATTTAATAATTGATATCTTCCCTCATTCCACACAGATCTAATTTTTTTATTACATATTTCTATAAAATTCATTGTACTAAACCGTTGTATTAAGTTTATAGAAGTAAGAAAGTATAATTCTACATTTTTTTCTTTCTTTTTTTTTTTCTGTAATTTGATTCAACGATCTGATTTATATTAATGTTTTTTTTTTTATATACAACTAACCATCTTTTTTACTAACAAAAAAAAAAAAGAAAATATAATAGTTTTTAATAGTTCCATCAATAAAAAAATATGCTTGGACACTGTGTGCATGCACGCTTGAAAAAATTTATTATATGTAATGGAAAGCAATGATGATTGTCATTATTATGAAAAAATTGTGCAATAGTGCAAATTCAAAATGGTATATTAATAAAACGTCATTTGAAACATGAGAAACGTAGAAGATATCTAAAAATTAATATCTAACAACATATTCATAGTAACGTACATATATACATATATATATATATATGATGTTTATTTAATAAATTTACTAGAATTCAAAATATGAAAAAAAAAATAAATAAATAAATAAAAACAAAGGGTAAAATAAATTATAATATAATAAAATTAAAAAATTAAAGGTAGTGAAATTTTGATAAAGGCATTTGCTTCATAAAAATATTTTATTTAGATAAATCAGAATAGACGATCTATTATTTCTTGATGCAAGATCATACACAATATTTCTTTGCTTAGGGATTGTTAATGTTTCTTCTTTTTTTTTTTTTTTCTTTTTCTTTTTTTTCTTTTTCTTTTTCCTTCTTTGTTCATACCGTTTTACAAGTTACATACACAATATCACCTCTCTCGTGTCCCTTTACGTGTTTTAAATGTTTTACAATCTCAACTCTGTTTGTTTATTATTTCCATTTTCATATTAGATTACACTTTATATACTCTCATTGTTACACACACAGGTCAATATATTATTCTTACTTTTTATAAAACAATTGCTGTCCCATCTTGCCAAACGCTTTATATTTTTTTTTATATTATTTCTTTTGTTTGTTTTTTTTTGTTTTGTTTTATTTTCCCCATACCATTATCTCTCTCTCTCTCTCTCTCTCTCTCTCTCTCTCTCTCTTTCAAAAAAGTATGTTGTATTTCACGTTTATAAAAGCGTATCATAATTTCCAATATTATTCTTACAGATAGTTAAACACTTTTGTAATCTACAACGGATACGTATGTATGTGTTGCGATTTGTTAATTATTTAATCGCTCAAGATTTATTTATTTATTTATTTATTTTATTTTATTTTTTTTTTTTTTTCAAAGCTTAATGATGTGGATGATGGGCTAGGAATTACACAAACAAACACACATTTATACGAAAGTACAGGAGGCATGTGTTATGTATTTATGTATATATGTATGTGTGTATGTACGTATGTATGTATACATGCGAGCGATAACTTTTAATTCTTTCTCTCTCTCTCTCTCTCTCTCTCTCTCTCTCTCTCTCTCTTTCTTTCTTTCTCTCCCCCCTTTTTTTTCGTTTTTTCTTTTTTTATAATATATATATATATATCACGCATATAATTATATAACATACTCATACACGCACATGCCTTTTACTGCTAATTATAGAACAAAATACTGAAATTTCGTTATTAAAATTATAATAAAATAATTAAAAATATTTTAAGAGGTTTATACGTTATAAGGTGTATTTCTCATACGTATATAAAATTAATAAAAACGAGATAAACAGGCAGATAATAGTAATAATAATAATAATAATAATAATAATAATAATAATAATAATAATAATAATAATAATATAATAGTAATAGTAATAATATTAATAATAATAATAACAATAATAATAATAATAATAATAATAAAATGGGCATTGAATCGAACGGTGCAGCAATTTATCACGGGATTGGACACTGATTAATTGGTATCCGTAATTATCTAAAGCTGCTTATAATAATCATTTGCAGGATGGAATGTTATATCAGAGAGCTGCCTACCCGTTTTAGATTAATTTATGGAATTTTAGAGAATATAATTTCTTTTTCTTTTCTTTTTTTTTTTTCATTTTTTTCATTTTTTATTAATCTTTTTTTTATCGTTTTCTTGATTTTTTTTTTCCCCTCGTTTGAAAAATGTCATCATCAATTTCGTAAAAACAAATCACATCCAACTGCATTCACGGTGTATAATTTACAATAAAATGGCATAGTAAATTAGTTAATACTTATTTTTTTCTTTTCTTCTTCCTTTTTTTTCTCTCTTTTTTTTCTTTGTTTTTTTTTCTTTTTTTTTTTTTTCTTTTCTTTTCCTTTTGTTGTCGTTTCTTTAGATTGTAGAAAGATTGATTGAGGTCTATTTGACTAATGCAAATACTCCAAAAAATATTAATCGTAGTGGCAGTCATATATATGTTAATTTCTCTAAAATTAGCAGTTTTAAGAATTATATAAATTAATAAGACATGTCCGCAAAAAGTATAGAATTTTCTGATTTCTAAATTAGCTTTGCAAAGGTACAGCATTCGATAGGACATTTCTTAATGTGAGAGAGTCAGATATATCTCTATATATTCAGAAAGATTAAACATTGTATTATCATTAATCTTATTTGTACTGATTTACATAGAATGGGTGCGAGGAAAATTTTCAATAACAAGGAAAGAAAATCATTTATCGTAGGACATGCTAGAAATCATGCTAGAATGTCGTCATTATATTAACGATGACACGAGTTAATTTTCTTTTGATCGGATATTTCATTTTTTAATCATGCAGGATGAATATAATAAGATGCAATCACAAAGATTATAAGTACAAAGATGAAAATGCGACTGTACAGAAACTTTGCTACGCACCCCATTCTATTATTCTACATAGAGAAAGACTTATTTCAAAATAAATTAGCACAAGCACGCGTAAGGGTTAGTAGATCATTTTTATATATAATAAGAAATATACGATTTAAATGTTATCTCACAAAATTGTTGTAATATTAAAAAAAAAAAAAAAAAAAAAAAAAAAAAGAAAAAAAAAGATAATGAAACGAAAATAATGGCGCAACAATATTTCGAGCTTATCTATCACAGCATATATAAAATCTTGAAAATTTGAATGATAAAAATAATTAATAAATCTTTCTTTATGTAGAACATCATTATTATGTAAAATATCTCTAAATACAAATTTTCAGTATTGTACCATTTCTAACTATTTCAAAAAGGTGACAAAAGCATCAAGATTTACACCAAAGACAATCATCATATTTTATCTCCTTCGTTCAAGAATAATTCTTGATTGATTAATTCTTTTGTTACATGATCAATATATATTTTCTAATGCCTTCGCTTTAAAATCTTTCCGATGAATCTTTAATCTTACCTTAGTAATGTTGAATCGTATATAATGTTAAGTTAATTTTCTTTTTTTTTTTCTTTTTTTTTTTTTTTTTCATTAGCTTTAATAATCTACCGATCACTACTGAAATTTGTATATCATTTGCGAAAGAGTTCGGTTTATATATTTATATATTCACATATAAATATATATATATATATTTATATTTATATATAAATATTTATATATAAATATATATATATATATATATGTATGTATGTATAGATTTTTGTTATTTTTTTTTTTTTTTTTTTTTTAACATTTATAGATTTATATGAAACTTCATTCACAGGTAGCATTCGCGCCCTCGAACCCTAAGTGATCTCTTACTTTTTACATTGAGGAGCTTGAAGAGGTGTGTACGCAAAATGCGTCCATTGGGAGGTAATTCTGGTCAGTGCTTTCAGTTTCAACCATCGAGCAGAATTAACAATCGAGAAAAAGGAAAGGGTAAGAATAGCGCGACAATCATTAAATTTATCAAACTAATCTCGCTCTCATAGATAGTGAAACGTCGATAGCATTATATTATCATCATCATCGTCATCATCATCATCATCATCATCATCATCATCATCATCATCATCATCATCATCATCATCATCATCATCATCATCATTATCATTATCATCATCATTTAGCGGTTTAATTAAAATCACAGAAATCAGGTAAAAACACAACAATTTCTGTTATCCGTCTTCTATACAGGACTATTCTGCATTTTTCATGAATATACTCATAACTGGCACAGCAGGCGTCTGAAATGAACCGTAACTCCAGCTTGTTATGAAAAAAATGGAGAATTTAATATCGTGTTTCTTTTGATGGTAGGCATAACATTAAAAACTCTCATCAAGTAGATAACAATAACCAACAACTAACAATCGTAGGCATTCACGCAAAAATAGAAATATGTTTAATAATATATAATAATATTATTATAATTTATAGTATCGAAGTGTGTAAGTATGATCCTTTGCCTATGAATACTAGAGTACTAGAGTAAACAGTGTCAATGACTAGAGCTGAAAGATGTCAAAATGTGGTATTTAATAAAAACAAAAAAAAAAAAAAGAAAGAAGTAGAAACAGAAAGAAAGAAAGAAAGAAAAAAGAAAAATTATTCGACTATACACAAATTAAAGAAATTATTTAATATTAATCAAATGCTGATATAATTTTAATTTTGTTTTTTTTTTTTTTTTTTTTTTTTTTTTAATTGAAGCCATTTCATAGACTTTCAACAGTACAAAAGTAAAGGCCATTTGCATAATATACTTCAATGCACCATCAATATATTATAATCATTGAATTAATCTTTAACAATTATCAAGATAATATTAAATAATTTATTATTTAATTCATGAGATCTTTTAATTACACTTAGAATTTTTAAAGGTCCTTCAGCTCAAATCATATCTCACAGAATTCTGTAAATTGCTAACAACGAGAGTAGGGTTTTGCCTTAGTTACGTTCTATAAGTAATTTCTACATTTCCAGGTTGAAAGAATAAATCAATTATTTTGACAAGGTGTCGCTCGCAAAGATTTTCAAAGCTTATACACTTTAATTTCATTTGATATTGCCGATTAAAACAAAAAAAAAAATTTCAATACTCAAGGAACAATCTTATTGTTGTTGATTAAACAATAAGATATCCTTCGTTCTATATTCTTGTAAATATAATTTTGTTTACATCGGACATAGAAGACAGAGTTACATTGAGAAAACATAGTTTGTTCTTTTTTTTTCTTTTCTTTTTTTTTTTCTTTTTTCTTTTCTTTTTTCATATTTCTTGTTGTCCATATCATTATCATCATGCCATTTACGAGTTAAACTTTTCACACAAAATAATCTATCGACTTTATCATCTTATTAAAAATCCCTAACCCCTTGAAAACGGATACTCCTTTGTCATAGTTTTTTTGTTTTTTCTTTTTTTCTTTAATATTTTGTTACAGACAACGTTACGCTGTATAAAATAGAAAAAAAAAAATGAAATGAAATAAAATAAAATAAAATAAAATAAAATAAAATAAAATAAAAATAAAATAGAATTGAATTAAATTAAATTAAAAAAAAAAAGAAAAAAAAAGGAAAAAAAAAGATCTACGTAATAATCAGTAATGTATAATTATTGGTAAGTTTGTCTCTTCTCTATATCCTAAAATACAAAACAATAAATTATAATCTACACGTGCGACGACACGTGCTTTCAGCTGTGTGTTGTATATATTATATATATATATATATAAATTATATATATATATATATATACACGCGCAATGTAGTGGCTCTTTAAAAAAAATTAGCGATTCGAATCGAGGCAGAGTTGGAATGTATGAATATTCGTATAGTAATACAATATGTAAACTGCATCCTTAATGATAAAAACGAGAAGACACACATATGGTTTTTGTTTAAGTTGTTGAAACGAATTATTCAAATAAATAAATTCTCAAACTGATGCGATTACGTATCGGCATAATTAAATTAAATACGTTCTACCAACAATAGGTACATGATTAAAATAACATAATAATAATAGTAATAATAATAAAAATAAAATAATCATATTAATAATAATATTAATAATAATAATAATAATAATAATAATAATAATAATAATAATAATAATAATAATAATAATAATAAAATAATAATAATAATAATAATAATAGTAGTAGTAGTAGTAGTAGTAGTAGTAGTAATAGTAGTAATAATAATAATAATAATAATAATAATAATAATAATAATAATAATAATAATAATAATAATAATAAAATAGGCAGTAAAGATATAGATGCAGTTACATACTCCGTACGATATTACACGACGTGGAAAACTTGTAATCGGTGTCCTCTTTTAAAAGAGGGTAAAAAAAAGAGATAACATTTGAACGTACAATGTTAACAATCTTGTAATTATTATAAATAATTATAAAAAGGAAAGGATTAAAAAAAAGAAAAAAAAAAGAAGAAAGAAAAAAAGAACTGTAAACAAACGAGGGATAATATATATGAAGTCACCAAAATCAATGTCTACCTCGTCGTATACTTTTTCCGACACGCTCTCGATACGAATCGAATTGAGAAAAAAAAACAAAAAAAATACAAAAAAAAAAAAAAAAAGAATGAAAGAATCGATGCTCCCTTCGACGATGAAGGGAATTTTCGCAATTTGTTATTTATAAGTGTTCTCTAAACAACGAAGATACATAAATAATAAAAAGACGATGAGAGAAATAAAAAAAAAAGAAAAAAGAAAAAAAAAGAAAAGAAGAAGAAGAAAAAAGAAAGAAAGAAGTAAGTAATTCCATCTCGCTCAACTCGTGAATACCGGAGATATTTTTTTACAAAAACGAAAGAACAGAGAGTTAAAAAAAAAATATATATATATATATATATATATATGTATATATATATATATATAAAAGGAAAAAACATTGTAAATTTTCTATTTTAATATTCTTCAATGTTATTATTATTATTATTGTTGTTATTGTTGTTGTTGTTGTTGTTGTTGTTTTTGTAATGGTGTTGTCCTATAGCTCTGTTTTCACGTTAATTTATTTTTCTTTATCCTTTTCTTTTTTCATCCCCCGTAGCTTTACATCTCTTTACCACGAGTTATCTCGCTCTCTCTCTTTCTCTCTCTCTCTCTCCTCTCTCTCTTCTCTCTCTCTCTCTCTTTTTCTCTATCTCTCTCTCCCTCTCTCTCTCTCTCTCTCTTGTTCAGAGATCGGTGTGCCCCAGAATGCGGCACACCCTTTGTTCCTAAGGATCCGAGGGTGACTCCAGCATCTCCATTAGGAAATCGTCGATCGGTACATCACCGATCAGCTTGTAGAAGAAGAGATGTTCGAGACATTTGAGGCCGATCGAACGAATGGACGGTAAGCGAAGCAATAGCTTAGCGAATCTTCCTGGATCGTTCGGACAAGATACACGTGTATATTCTTCTAAAGCCGCATAGATCTTCTCACGTAGTAGACTGACCTCTTGGATGGATTTTAAACCTCGTACGTCAGGGTTGAAGAGGATTATTGATCTATAAGGATTAATATGAAATTTAAGTTTATTAATAAAAATATAATATATATATATATATATGTAACAGTAATATAATAGTTAAGGTAAATTATATATTAATAGTATACTACTATAAATAACTATTATATATTGTGAATAATAATATATATATATATATCTTCTTTTATTTATATTTATAAGATATAAAATAGAGTTGAATGAATGAAATGAAATTATATTTCTAATTTATTTTATTCATTATTTTTTTTTTCTCTATTTTTTTCCTCATTCATTTCACTTCATTTCAGACAGATTATGATTTTAAGTGACTGACCTGAGACAACCTAATTCAGTTTTGTCCATTTCCATTTCTCGCATCTTAGTTACGAGTTCGGATAATACGTGTTCAAATATCGTCCCTACGCCAGCCTGTTGCGCCGAATTACGGTTGACGGTAATGCCAGTGGCCAAAACGATACCGTCCTTGACATTGATGGAACGATGAGAAAAGGATGCTATCAGCAACTCGTTCCAACCAGCCCTGAGTAATAGTACCTGATCCTCCAACGGCAACGAGGTAAAATGCGGGATGTGCTTGGCCCATGCCACCAGCTGGAACAGCTGTTTGTTCGTGGCGTTGCGAATGTGCGATATTGCATTCTGTGTATCACACGGGATAGCAGATTAATCGAGAGGAGGAGAGAAAAAAAGAAAACGAGAGAGAGAGAGAGAGAGAGAAAGAGAAAGAGAGAGAGAGAAAGAAAGAGAGAGATAAGAAGGAAGGGTGGGAGGGAGAGAGAAAGAGAGAGGAGATAGATAGATAAATAGATAGGTAGAAAGATAGATCATTTTTATTAATACTGGCTAAGCCCGTGAGACACTATTATATATAACAATAGTAAAAGGATCTTAATAACAAATGTCGATTTATTAATTTTAGAAGAAAAAAAAAAAATGTAAGAAATGACAGATGATGAACGGAGCGTGTAAGTGTTATCAGATGATTAAAAAAAAAAGAAAAAAAAAAAAAAAGAAAAAGAACAAAGGAACAGTAAGAGAAAAGAATAATAATAAATAAAGATATTTTATAAGGTTGATTGAAAGTTAGGATAGATATTGATGAAAAATTGGTTGATAAAAAAAAAAAAGAAAAAAAGAAAACAAAGAGGGA